GACATTGGAGATGCCTCTCGTGGCAGCCTTTCGTCTTACGCTTACACTCTCATGGTGCTCTACTTCCTTCAGCAGAGAAACCCGCCCGTTATCCCTGTGCTGCAAGAGGTACCAATAACATGTTTGTCAAAAGTTTCAAACTCAGTTTTTTAGCCTTTTGACTAGATGCCTCAGTGTCATTGCCCTGAGAATAACTTTTAGTTTGGTATTTTAAAATACCAGAAATTCTATTCTCTCCACTGCAGGCCTTTTTACAGTCAATGGACTTCTTTTTGCAGAAGCTTTTTCACTTGTGATGCCAAGTAATCTAAGAAAATCTCTATATACTATATCTCTTTATATTGCATTACAAAGTGAACTAATAAAGAGGTCTCTTAATTGTTATATGTTCATGATAAAAGATGTTCAACAAATTCCGTTGCAGATCTACGATGGAAAGAAAAAGCCGGAGGTGACAGTTGATGACTGGAACGTGTACTTCTTTGATGACTTAAAAACATTAGTGAGTTTTCTGTAGTTTTACAAGTCCACTGTGTTGTGTCCTTATAAACATTGTATTGATATGATTTGCCAAACTGTGTTATGTTTTTTTTTGCTTGCAGCCGAGTCGCTGGTCACAGTACGGGAGGAACACAGAGTCGGTGGGAGATCTGTGGCTCGGCCTGCTCCGCTTTTACACGGAGGACTTTGACTTCAGAGAGCATGTGATCTGTATCCGTCAGCACGGCCGCCTCACCACCTTCAACAAGCAGTGGACGTCCAAATACATTGTCATTGAAGGTCAGTGTGTGAGAAAATGTAAAGTACACATAATACAATTGTTATTGCACAAGATTAAAACTTATCACCCATCAAACATGCTGCTGTACATGCAGTTAATTAAATGCATATGCTTATTACTGACTGAATTAAAAAGATGTATTGCTGTGCAGAAAGATTTGTCATTTTTAAACTGCCTCTCTTTCTCTTATGTTTATATTACAGATCCTTTTGACCTGAATCATAATTTGGGGGCTGGTCTGTCCAGGAAAAGTATGATTTTCGTTTTTTTCTCTTCAGTTCTGTCTGGTTTTAAATCTGTCCTCTTGCTGCTGCTCTCTTTCTCTTTATTGTCTTTTTTTCAAATATTTTTTTGGCTTGTCGTTTCGAAACAGTGACTAACTTCATCATGAAGGCTTTCATCAACGGCAGAACAGTATTTGGCACACCCGTCAAATCCTTCCCTCCCGTGTACCCCAGTCAGATGGTTAGTGTTTGCTCTGTAAGCATCATATTAGCATTTTGTGGCAACATTATCTAAGCATTGACATTGTCTTACTTGTCCTCATCCATTCCAGGAGTATTTCTTTGACCCGGAGGTTCTCACCGAGGGAGAAGTGGCGCCCAATGACCGCTGCTGCCGTATCTGCGGCAAGATTGGTCACTTCATGAAAGACTGTCCCTTGCGTAAGAAGTGAGTACAAACACAATGCATGTCTGAATTTGTCACAAAAAGATAACTTGAAGATAAATGTCTATCTCGCCATGTGTCAAGCTATTTGTTTGTACTATATTGTGGATGATTTCTGCCCAGGTCCAAGCACAGATGGGACTCAGAGAAAAGGCAAGAGCACCTAAGAGACAGAATGGATTCAGCTGACGACACCAGGGATCATGTCAGACACAAGAATGAGAACTGGAGGAAAAGAGATGCACTGGAAATGCGCTGCTGCTTCCTATGTGGATCAAATACCCACATTAAGAAGGACTGTCAGCTGTACAGAAATCCTGCAGGTTCTCATCTCAGTTTTTTCTTATTTAATTTTACTTTGTTGTCATTTGTATTATCAAGTACTTCCAAAATATAGAATTCTTCACTCCACAGAACAGAACTGGAAGTTTTGTTAGTTCATTCCCTCTAATTAAAAAAAAAACAGTGGGAAAGGTCATTGTTGTTTAATTTTACTCTTATTTATCATTTGTCAGGTAATGTGAAGATGGAGAACTATAACTACCCTGCTTCAGCCAACATGAGGAATCTGAGAGAAAAGGAAAAACAGGTATGATCTGAACTTTGTAATAGTCAATAAAGAATGTTCACTTCATATTTGTAGGCAGCTCTGTGCACTCCTACACCTGGGCCCTGATGACTTTCTCCTCTTTCAGGGTTCATCTTTACAAGAAGAGAAGAAGCGAAAGCAGCAAAATGTCATGTTAAGTCCACAAGCAGGTACGAAGAGTTTCTACTTCGGTTGAAATCATTACGTACTGTCACAATAAGATTTGTTTAAACTGTTGACAAGGTACTTTATATTCGGGGGTCATCTTTCTTGTTTTAGGGCTGGTGATGAGAGGGAATGAAAGAGAGACGTTTTTGCAGCCGGCTGATGTTGTTAACTCTTTTTTGGGAAACACTGAACACTGGCTAATGTTTTGGTTAACCTTTAGCATTCTGCTCCTGTTTTTATCTTTTGTTTTCAACTCAAACTGAGGACATGTTCTGAGACTTATTTCCCCTGTAACCTGACAGGATGCTCTGCAAATAAAACTGCAAATAAATCAAATACGGCTGTCAGTTTATTAGTTTGATCAGCTTAAAGTATCTAGGACAGATGAATTTTTACATGAACAGAAGTGACTGGTGCAGGTTAGAAGTGTTTGTAACGGAATAATCTTGACTGTTGCATTCTGGTTTGTTTCAGGTAGTCTAGCCTGCCGAAATGTGGGTCGCTCTGGTCACAGGAAGAGCCCAGTGGAATGAGCAGCAGCAGTGGCTACATACACCATGAGGTTCTCCTCTTGTCCCGGCAGACGGAAAATCCAGAAACCCTTAAATCTGTGGGACTGTTGGGCCAATGTGAGCCCATTAAAAGCCAAAGCCAGGACGCCTAGACTTGAAGCCAAATAGGGCCTTTTTAAGTGTTGATTCTTTTTTTTCCCTACAGTGCTTCTCCTAAGAGGAGCTTTTTAAAGCTTTCATTTTAACAAGACAAGCCATTACCCATGCCCCTCATGTCCTTGTTTACCCACACTGCCAGTCAAGTTTTTATACTCGCTACCTTTCGAGCAATGTCATTGCAGATTCAGTGTAAAACTGCTTAAATTAGAAAATGTATGTAATTGAGATTAACTATGTGACTCAGATCTTGATCATCATCATGAGAAGGTATCGTTTGCAGACAACATACTTCAGATTTGTGTTGTTATCAATGAGAAAGCTTCTCTGTGCTTTATAGGCTCAACTGTCTTCACAGGTAAGACCTGGCGTCTGTAAACGGTACATCAGCATTCGGACAAAGGGACAACAGCATTAATAATGTGTGATGCCTACTACTTAAAGTGGCCTGAGGTCTGCGTCATCAAGATCAGGGTGATTTCAAATTTAACCAGAAAGTCATTCATCAGTTCAATTATTCATTATTTTCTCATCACTATGTTTTTATGATTGAGTATCTGGTTATTTATCTTGAGATTTAACACAAAAAAAAAGGACTGAATAGGTTAAAAACTTTTGAATGGCAGTGTAACTTTTGTGATGGCCAGGATATTTTTTAACGGAATTTCTTTTAAAGCCTGTTTAATTTGTCACGTGCACTGACGTCCATCAGTCTCTCATACAGAATTGAAAGCAGCTCTTTGTGAATCTTCTCTCTGTGCGTTTATAAAAAACGTCTTGTTGATATTTTTCAGGTTCATGATGGATTTTTTTTTTTCTTTGACATAACTGATACACCCTGACTTCATAAATGCATACTTTCCCCTCGACTGTGAGCAACAAGTGCAAATTGAAGATATTATGACAGTAAAACTGTTTGTCCTGTGATAAATCTGGCCTGTATTTGTTCCACACATTAGGAAGTGTTGTGACTTTAGTGCAAGAACAGGTATTTAGGAAAGATTCATGCTTACACTCAGTGGTAATGATCGACTGTTCCAGCTGATGACATACACTGCTTCAAACGCTATGTTCATTTTCTGCTGGCAATTTCATTTAATTCAGTGGAGATATAAATGTATTTATTTGCCACAAAGGCTTCATTTTGTAGTAATGGTGCCACAGATTGGTAGCTGCACTGTGAGGGTCACACCCTCCTATTCTGTTGCTGCTAGTTAATGTTTCAGAGAGCTGCTTATCATTCAGCCTGGAATATGGACTGTTTGGCTTTAATGTTGCCCTAATATGGATAAATTTTACTAAAAAAAATGTGGTGTTGATGGTATTGTAATGAAATTCCTCATTTTAAAAGTAGCTTTGTTTTAATGCCGGCCTTGTTGTGCTTCTTTTGTTGTACTTAAATGGGAGATTTAGTTTAAGGAACACCAGTCCTGCCAGGAAAAGGTTGGCTCGCAAACCATTCTGTGCCCCAGAACAAACATTAAACTGAAATTTGTCCTCGAAAAAAACATTTTCTTTTTGTTCGTTTTTTTGTTTTTTTTCCAAGACTGCGGATATCAAACTGTGTGTCTATAAACAACTCTATTCTTCAGTATCAGTAATCATACAACCTATACTGCGATAACTGTCGGTGCTGACAATGTAAGACATGTTTGTGAGCTGTCATTTTGAAAAAGCTAATACTATGGATAGATTAAATCACTTTTTTTCTCTGTCGAATTGGTTTAACACATTTGTAAATACAGTAAATACAATAGTGTTGGTATTAATAGTATGTAAGTATTTAAGATGGGTCATAGTATTTTATTTCAGGTTGCCTGGTACAACATGAAAATGAGCTTGTCAGGCTGATTCACAGCATTTGATTGTTTAATCATCACTTTCCCCATCAATTAAGTAATCTAATAGATATTTAACAAAATGTGAAACTCTTATCTGAACAAAATAATGAACGGAAATAGGAATAAGTGTTGTCAGAGTTTATTTAAATTAAAAGAACAACAATAATATAATAATATCACTGAGAGATTAGGTTTACGCAACAGAAACTCATGAGAGTTTATCCGTAATCCTATTTGTCCAGTCGCCCGTCCGTCAAAACCAACAGCCAATCATTGAACGGGTGTCGTATTTGGGGCGGAACCGGAGCAGTACGCGCCTGCGCAGTGCAGTGTTTTGATCGTTAGCATTAGCAACATGTCTGCCTCCATGGTGAGGGCGACCGTCCGAGCGGTCAGCAAGAGAAAGATCCTGGCGACCAGAGCCGCGCTCACGCTGGTGAGTTTCAGATGCTTCGTGCTATTATCGTGTGAATCACTTTTATCACGTGGTCAGTGTGAATCCACGACGTGTCGCGTCACCACCAGCTGCTGTTAGCTAACGTTACCTGATCCGGGAGTTAGCTAAGCTAGCTACCTAGCTAGCCAGCGCTGACTTTACACGCCGAATGTCTTTCTTAAAAGTTGTGTTCAGCATCGACGAGCTTGTATTGGCCGATGTACGCACGGTACACACTAGTGTGGTAATACAAGTACAACACAGGGTTGTAAAAGTACATTTACTTTGCTTTCTAGATGCTAACCTCACTAACAGACGATGCAGCGATGGGATGCTAAGCTAAGCTATAGCTTCACGGTGTGCCACAGACTTCTGTTCGTTAATAGTGACTGTTATGTATAAATATATATATATAGTTATAGCTAAATTAGTAACTCAACACGACACAGAATAGTCAAGCCAAGCCGCACAACGCTGCTTTGTTGAGGGGCTCAGGACACAATGTGTTAGTGAGAATCTTCCAGAGGTCAAGATTTCCTGTTTAAGTTAGCAGCTTCATGTTGTGCCCACTATTAATGATCCAGTGAGAACAAGCGCGGACTAAATATCTGCTTCGTAAAGACACGACCGGTTTGAAGACAACACTAAGATGCGTTTCTAGCTTTTAAAGTCTAATTTCTCAAGTGTGATAGAAACACAGTGCTTCCGTCGCCTGAGCCTGTTTCCCTTCAGCCAGTGATCCCAGACAATCCTGCGTCTCTGTGCAAGAGCGACAGGAATTTACTGTGTGACATTCCGGTCAGGTTAGGTTCAAACTATAATTGCTGAATTATCTTCATGCTATGCCACAAATATGTTGGCTGTGTTTATCTGAGTTATTAAAACCAAATATCTTCTCAAAATGAAACAAACTAATATCATTTAGGACTTCAGGCACTCTGTATGCTCATGATTGCACCAGTTAGTAGAGTATGAAACTAATCTATAAACTGTGAACTAATACTGTAAATGTTTGATTAGGTGAAAATGTAGTGAGCTGCGGCTGTAGATTAATTGATGGTTGTTATCGTTGGGATGATGGTGAACGTCTCCCTCACAGTGTTGTGAGGAGATTATGTGTGTGCACTGTGGCCGGAGGTGATAAAGCATGTGAGCTGAAGTAAACACCAAATATTGGCAGAAGCAACTGCAGATGATGACAGAGCTGCACTGTAGCTGTGAGGGACAAAGACAAACAGAGAAGCAGTAAATTAGATTTAACATATCAAACTAGTAATACTTGTTCACTCTACCAGGAGCCACTTGTGGAGTTTTGGACATTGCCGTTACATTGGGTTTACAGAATAGTTATGAAACCACTCTGGATGAACACTGAGGCTTTAAGGGATTTGCACCATGCAGTTCACCTCAGTTTCCAAAATGCCTTCACAGGAGAGAGAGAACACAAACACAGAGATCCTCCTCCTTCCCTGCACTTCCATCCACTCCCTCACAGTAGGAGCTACAGGGGTGCAGGTTCTTTTATTATACTGTAGGTGTTAGATCATTTCAGGCAAGTTGAAATGTCAGCAACTGTAACTGAAATAAGCCGTAGAAACTTAAACTATAGCAACATATTAGATTTCTCTGTTGTCATTCTACTGCTCAGTGTGTGAGAAGCCGTCACAGTTTGGCCAAAACTCAGTTTTCTAGAAGTGAAGAAAAAATAATGAGTAGAAGCCTTTTATCGTCTGTTTTCTCCTCCTCAGACTCCAGCAGCTGTGAACAAGATCAGAGTGTTGTTACAGGACAAGCCGGAATATGTGAGTAATTCATTCAGCCAACCTCCACTGAAAAAGTACATCAGTGCAATTGCAGAAGGTGCTGGGATTTGTGTGTGTGTGTGTGTTTTTGACACTTGAGTTGTCAACAAATTGGTTTGTCCTCATCAAAGGAAATTAACCTCCTCTGCACTGGGTTGTTGAACTGTTATCAATGTTTATGGAGCTTTTTATCAATTCATTCCATTCTTAGATAGTTAAAGGAGTATATGAGTTCATATAAGGCCACTGAATCTAAAGGGTCTATAGGGAAGTCTATAGAAGTAAGGAGAATCAGGAGACTACAGAAACATAAAGTTTTTAGTTTGTAGCTTTATCTTCCTAAACTGTCAAACACCAGCAAACAGCTAGCCCACATTTCACTTAACCTAACAGACACAACCACCTCATGCCATGTTTGTCCAGCAGGGCCGAGATGCAAGGTTGAGCTGGGTTTGAACATCATTCTCTTTCATTGGTTACACAACTATTTGTGGCGCTTCTCATGTGTGCAGCTGAGTCGTGCCTTCCAAGAGAAACTGCATTTGAACAACTATCTTTCTTTCTCTCTCCAATAACTCTTTTTTTTTTTTTTAGATCGGTTTGAAGGTTGGAGTGAGAACCCGTGGTTGTAATGGACTGACCTACACACTGGACTACACCAAGGAGAAAGACAAGTCTGATGAGGAAGTGCTGCAGGATGGTAAATAATGATTTAGTGTTGTGTTGTTTCCCACATGCTAAGTGATTTTAGATTAATTGGGTTATTGGGACCAGATTGGCCTTGAGATTCACAGTTAAAATGACTAATGTGCACATATATCACATGCACATGAATGATCTATATATTTAATACATTTTGCACATGTACAATATAAATCTCGATTTAAGGGACATATTTAACAAATAAACATTTGTATTTCAATTTTGCACCTTTCATATAAGATAATACATTTTCTGTTAATATAAAAATGTTTAATTTATATCTTGTTGTTGGTCATAATAATAATACTACCACTTGATGATCAAATTCTTCACATGATTTGATAATAAAACACTTTTTATTTAATTTTCATTGTCTGCAGGAGTGAGAGTGTTCATAGAGAAGAAGGCTCAGCTGACTCTCCTGGGAACTGAGATGGACTTTGTGCATTCAAAGCTGTCCAGTGAATTTGTCTTCAACAACCCCAACATCAAGGGCACGTGTGGCTGTGGAGAGAGCTTCAACATGTGAGCATCATCACGGAGCCTCCGTCCTCCCGCACCACCCCTGCTCCAAAGCTTTCCCCATCCGTAAAGACTGAGAGACTGAATGTTGACAAGGAAGTTAGACACGAGGAAATCTTTTGAGATGTGGACGTGCCTCCTTTTCCGCTTCTCCCCCTGCAGCCCACACACTGGTTTGAAGCCCATGTATGCATCTCCATGATCAGAGGAAGGTTTCAACACAATATGTGTTGTTAAAAAACATCTCAGCATAACTGATTTTAGTTTCAGGAACCTTTTGATGTCAGTGTTTTAGTTCTTGGATCTACATTTAAAAAAAGAAGTGTTTTTTTATTTAGCAACTGTCTGCCATTTCACACTTATACGCACATTATTTTTAATAAGTAAATCTCAGCGGGACTTGTATGCAGGAGGAAATGCTCACTGAGGTGAAGAGTTGATCAGGTTTAACTTGGTAGATATAAAAGGATTGACCATGATACTATTAAAGGAGACGTGTTATGCTTTTTAGGTTTATTTTTCCCTCAGCGTGTTCATGCAGGAGTTTTGTAAAAGATCTGCACCGTTAAAAAGCTCTAAGTCTGCGATGAACACTGAAAACATGCCTCATCAGCAGTCCTGTGATGTCGTGTCACAGTCACCTGCATTCGCATAATGCTCCTAGCAGCTAGTTTTGCTCTGCCCTGCTAACACAACCAAGTAAAAGGAGACAGTTCTTACATGCTGGAGGTTGTTGACCAATCAGAGCAGACCTGGCTTTATCCAGAGGGGGGGCTTAAAGTGACAGAGGCTGAAGAGAGGAGCTGCTTTAATGAACAGCAGGAGAACAGTGAAGTGTTTCATGAACATTAGAGAATATAAACCATGTCAAGAAATGACACATTCAATTATAAACCTAAACCAGAGCGTCATATGTCTCCATTAGGCTGAAATCTAACCATCAATATCTACATCAGCTGACAAACAGCTTGCTAAACATGGGTGTAAGAGGGCGTGCCACTCTTCAGTGTCACATACCGGCAGAATACAAACTTGGAGTTTGAGTGTCTTGAAACTGCTTTATCAGTTTGTATATTCTTTGAAATGTTTAAGTGTATATTTATCTCTATGTAAAGAATGTAAATCTCCCTTGAACCACACAAACACGCACACACAAGAAAAAGTAACGCACAAAACATGTATCCCTCACGTATGAGGTTCCTTTTTGCTTGAATAAAGCCTGGAACTTGTGTAAGTGTAGACTGTGCAATAGGTCTGTAAATATGAAATAATAAAAGGCTGTTCTATGCAACTGTGTTTCCATCATCTCTTGTCGCCATGGCGATGAGTCATCGGTAGAACTTTAAGGTTGTGAGACTACGAAACATCCAGCTGTGCTTTCTCTTTCTAACATCTGTATTTGAGCTCATTGAATGAATAAATATTTTTATGACCCCAGCTGCAAACGTCGAACAGATCACCCAGTCCTGGATAATTACAGCTGATGATGGAGATGTGTTTAAAAAGCGTCTGATTCGTCAGCGTCTCACACTTTCTCTCACGTCAACACCCACAAAGCAAAATGACTCTGCTTTTGTGCATGGACCCCACCACCCTCCACCCCCCTGCTATGATGGTCCCTGCTTTCATCTCAGACCTGCAGAGAACACAGAACAGCACTTTCAGCTCCATTGCTGAACAGAGCGGAGAGGAGGACACCGCAGACACAGGAACAACACAGGTAGAATGAAATTGTTATAACAAATACAAGCTCTTTAAATATTTAATTTGGCTTTATTTTATCACACAAATTAAAATTGGCAGATGTTCTTTTCCAAAAGAAAAATTATGCACACATTCAAGTTTACCAATTTTTGTTGTAGCTCCAGTTTCAGTTCTACAGACAATGTTCTGTGTTCTCTATGTTCAGGATTAATCCTGGATCTGACTTGTGAGGATGACAGAGCAACCAGCAGCCAATCATGGCCCAGACTGTGAGTTTTTGTGCAACGAGTCTGCAGCTGTGGAGGAACAGGGGCCGCCGGTGTTGGTTGACGCCTGGCTGGTCCCCACCTTCTTTGGCCTCATCATGCTGGTCGGCCTGGTGGGGAACTCGCTGGTCATCCACGTGGTCACCAGACACCAGCAGATGAAGACCGTCACCAACTTCTACATAGGTAAGGTTTCTGGATACACATCAAGGAAGAGGAAGGTAAAGAGGAAACAAGTAAAAGGAGGAAATATAGATCTTCTTTCCAGTGAATTTTAAAAGGCAGAGACCTCAGCACATGTTAGTGTCATTGGTACTTTTTCTCTTATTTATGGATCTTTCACCCCCTTAAATTTTTCTCAGGCTGACACACGACTGTTATTTTCCTTTCTCAGTAAACCTGGCCACGACTGACATCTTGTTTCTGGTGTGCTGTGTGCCCTTCACTGCCACACTGTACCCGCTGCCCAGCTGGATCTTTGGAGAGTTCATGTGTCGACTGGTGAACTACCTGCAGCAGGTGAGAGACACACAACACACAGTGTAAACAAGAAAATAAGCAGGCAGGCGTTGCAATAGTAATCTGATTGTAACCAACAGAGCCACAACTAAGATAAGTAATGTTTACTGTGATTTATATGGTTTCATAAAATTACACTCAAACATTTAATTCTACGTATTTTTCATAAAAGCCTGTGGACTTTGATGATGTAATGGTTGTTTATGATTTCACAACTGCAGCTAATATGTTGTGTGTCCCTGAACACAAGGGATCTGTTACAGTCTTCTGCCCCCGTGTGACAGTGTTGAGTAATAACCAACAAAACATGATGATTACACAGTGAAATTATATATTTGAAAATGTGTCATAATTATGCTCAGTTATAAATCACTACCTTGTGCATGTGTGAGTCCTTCCTGTAGCACATAGACTTAAAATGTACCTATCCGTTAACAATCTACAATGCACTTATATAACAATCTAATAAAGAACTTGTTTAATTTAGGTCAATGTGTGTTTTTTCTTTGTGTGTGTGTGTGTGTGTGTGTGTGTGTTTCAGGTGACTGCTCAGGCCACTTGCATCACTCTGTCTGCGATGAGCGTGGACCGCTGCTATGTGACTGTCTATCCTCTGCAGTCACTGCAACAGCGCACCCCCCGCATGGCTGTGACCATCTCCGTCTCCATCTGGATAGGTAACACAAAAAACAAACACCCACACACACATGCTTCACACACTTGCTTCATTTCTTTGTGTTTATAACCATGGAACCATTGAGGAAGAAAACATGAAGCGGCTGATTTGGCTGAATACGATGAAAACAAACCTGACGTTCTTTCTATAACTTAAACGTTTGTTGCTCTTAATCAATAATCTAATAGAACATCATGTAGCATTAGAAATAAGACAATTGATAAGGAATAAGAACAATTTTTAGAGTTTATAACTCTCATATGTCCTGAGAAACTCAAACAGCAACAACAGCTCAGTGTAATAGACTGAGGCACCTTAAATACCTTAAACCACAGAAACACGCCCAAACTAAAAGTTATAGTATCTTCTTAATGGAACGATGCTATCAGAAAAACATACATCAATGTGAGGCCGACTACTTCAAATGACAGAATCCATCATTGGGAAGTTATTTATCGCGTCCTCTAAGTTTTCACTTTGGTCCATGTCCCATCTGTTAACATGGAGAGGCCAGCCACCAGGGGGCAGTCCAGATGATTCGGCTTCATGTCTTTATTTACAGTCTATGGTTTGGAGCTATAAGTGAAATTCACGATGAGCTTCCTTCTCTGAGTCCCAGTCTCGTCCTGTGTCCTCTCCAGGCTCCCTGCTGCTGTGCACCCCTGTAGCCCTGTACCAGCGTCTGGAGGCGGGTTACTGGTTCGGTCCCCAGACGTACTGCAGCGAGGTCTTCCCCTCGGCCCGCCTCCAGAAAGCCTTCATCCTTTACAGCTTCCTGGCCGTCTACCTGCTGCCCCTGCTCACCATCACCGCCTGCTACGCCTTCATGCTCAAGCGCATGAGTCAGACCAGCGTGAATCCCATCGACGGTGGCTACCAAGTAAAGAAACACGTCTTATTTTTCACAGAGAACAGAATGTTTGTCTGATCCTTACAAAGACATCACAAAGTGTCCTCCACTCCAGCTCCAGGCTCAAGCCGAGCGAGCTGCAGCAGTTCGGGCCCGAGTCTCCCGCATGGTGGTGGTGATGGTGGCCCTGTTCCTCATCTGCTGGGGCCCCATCCAGGTCTGCATCCTCCTGCAAGCTTTTGGCTTCCGCAGCTACGTTCTGTACAAGGTGACGTACTCCCCATGGCAACTGATTGATGGATTAATCGATTTAAAATTAAAATGCAATTGGAAATTGTGTGTTTCTATTTTTTTCGTCCTCAGCTGAAGATCTGGGGTCACTGCATGTCTTACTCCAACTCATCTATCAACCCGCTGGTTTACGCCTTCATGGGTAACAACTTCAGAAAGGCCTTCAAACACGCCTTCCCGGCTGCCTTCCTGTGGCGGTCCAGGGGCAGAGTCAGGGTGGGAGATGTGGGCGCTGCAGAGGAAGGGTGAGACATCGATCGCTGGGCCCCCAAAGGAGAGGCAGAGATGCACTTTCTTTCATCTGGGACCTAAAGGCCACTCTGGGGTTCTGGACACTGTGCACTTGTTGTTTATTTATAGTTTGTTCTGAAGATGAGAGGAGTCTGGTCCACTGTATGTGCTGCATAGACGTACACACACAAACATACACACTAAACCAACACAAACTAAAATAGCCCTTAAACATGGCAGATTTCTTCCATCAGATCCATTATTACAGAATTCTTACCTTAGAAATGAATGAAAATGTTGAAATACGCCCTGTATTGAAATTCCTGGATTGGCCCCCTGACCCAAATCAGCTCCAAAATATAAATTGTTCTTTCCTGACGCAAACCACAGCCTTCCACCGAGTTTCGCTGAAAGCTGATCGGTTGTTTTAGGGTTATCTGACAGACAAGTGCAAAGAACAGCAGTAAGTGACATGTTTCAACACACACACATAGACACACACCATGTGATCTCTTAAAGGGGACAAACTGACAAAAGTCTGATTCCTCTCGTGACCTCCTCAAGCTGCTGAATTATCTCAGTCACATTTTTCTGACTGAGCTGAACTGAAACTGTGTCGGCTTTGCTGGACGTCACAATGTTTGTGTGTGTGAGAGAAAACTAAATCGTGGATGACAGAGGGAAACTCTCCATTTACTTCAAAAGCCTAAAACATGTCTGAGTTAGGTGCTGTACTTGAGGATTTCTTGATGTTAATGTGTGACGCACTAGACTTTACATGGAATTAATTATTTTCTGTTTAAATAAATAAATAAATTGTGTTTTACTCCAGTTTTTTGTCATTTAGTTTTATTCACTGTTGGGGTGGAGGCTCGTCACAGTTTACCTGCAGTTCATTTCCTGCTGAAATGATTGAGACACAGTGACAGATATGAGAACAACATGTTAGAGATGTGAGATGTGGCCCAAATATCTGCAAAACAAATTTGGGCCACCTTTGGTCCACATGGCTTACTTGTGGCCCAGATCTGGCAGACAGGAGCAGACCCCAGAGTTTGGGCCCAAATCTGGGCAGAAACAATTCTTCTATGTGGCCCAGAAATCTTTTGTCTCCTCCGAAACCTAAAGACAACCTTCGTTTACAATGAACTGATCTTTGTCCAAACTGCTGCAGGAGCCAATTGATTTATTGGTGGAATTGTAAAAGCACAGACATAGGTTACTGCCTCTATATGCAACCTGAATTACCAGTAAAAAAAAACACTCTATAGGTTCTATTCTATAATATACAGTGGGAAACAGATGAAGCCTGAAGCCTAAAAATCAGATATGTGACACCAGCCAATGGGAAGGCTCTGGTTGCTGGTGTCGTTGTGTTGCCTTCAGATGATAGTCAGAAAATGTGTGTTATATCTGTCATTTAGGCAGGTGAATATGAGTAAAGGTGCATTTGTAGATTTGTACGCATAATTATGTGTGAATGTGTAGCACACGATAATGAAATGATAAATTGAATATCAAAACAGCTGCTGATCGTTATTCTAAATAACCACTAGATCAATTGACTTCTTGCAAATTACACAATTGGGAATCATTTCACAGCAGTATTCAGTATATATACTCACAGCAGTATACAATATGATATGAATATATAATGGTAAATACATACAGTATGTATAAATCCTTTACAATAATTATACATTTAATACAGAATATATAAATAGATATAATTGAGCCACAAGAATTGGCATCACATTGAAACAGCTGCTGATTGGTCGTTTCTTTTTCTTCAAACAACTACCAGATTAATCGATTAATCGACTTGGACGCACTGAGCACAAGATGTACCACGTTTTGTCAGTGGAAGTCTACAGGTTTACGAGCAGCCCCTGAACGCCTCATCCAACACAGCAGGATAAGTAGAGTCGCAGCAGCAGAGGAGCTGCACACTTCACACAGACGCATCTTCATCCTCCTCTTCCTCAGCCTCCAGCAGCAGCAGCACAGCACAGCCACGCGTCTCTCTTCGACATGGAGCAGAATCCAACCATCAACTTCGGCGCTGGACCCGCAAAACTCCCGCAATCTGTAAGTTTGTGCAGCGGCGGCTCGCTCGAGTCACGTCACCGACCTGCGCGAGCGGAGAGTCTGTGAAAACAGCAGCTGAGCTTCTTTCTGTCGCGTCTGGTGATTTGTGCACATGCGTCCTCGCCCTCGGACTCTCTCTCTCTCGTCGAGCCTGATTGAAGCGACGTTTAAAAGACAAGCTGACACATTGACGGTGAAAGCGTCGTGCAGATGTGTGAGGGAACACCTGGCTCGCGTGCTGCTGCTGCTGTGCCGCGTCATGTGGCAGCAGCACAGACTGAAAACACTGGGATGAGTTGCATCAGCCGCGTTTCATTCATGTGGAAACTTGTTTTCTTTGTGCCACATACACACACGCACCTGCAGATGGCAGCAGAACACAAGTGACCAGCTTTCCATCAGAGATTTATTGTTCTAGTGTCAATTTAGCAGAAGTTAATTAATTAATACTCGTCCACATTGAGTTGATCTACAGTCTATGTCACGTTTATGTGTGTTTGCAAAAGTTTCTCTGCTGAAAAATGATCTTTAACCATTAACAAGATCTGTTAATTGTTCAAATCGAGAAGAAATATTGAACGATTTCAATCTTTATCGTTACAACTTCATTACCTGAGGATGTGAGGACATATTTCTGCTCTGTTAGTTTTAGGATGGATATTCACGTAGAGAAAAAAGGAATTCAGCTTCAATAGGAGATGCCTGAATTGAATTTGAATTGACTCCAAATCATATCAGATATTATTGCTACCCTAAACAGGACACACCTTTTAACTGGAATTTCCCGTGTCCTCTATTCTATGTGAATATTAACATTTTTATTTCTTCCATGTCGTGTGACCTTCTGCCTCCAAACCATGATGTCGTATTTGTTTTGTATAATTGTGAAAAACAGAAAAACGTCTCCAGTCTTTACTGTTTTCAACTTTTCCAATGGGAGAGTAAACTGAATATTTGGTGGAGAAAGTCCCTTTTGTCTCATACTTGATGTGACCTGTTGCAGGTTCTGCTGCAAGCACAGAAGGAGCTCATCAGCTACAGTGGCAGCGGCATCAGTGTTCTTGGTGAGTATAGAAGTACGACATGAGTTACATGTAACTGATAATGAAACGTGACTAAAGTACTTTTCATGATCAGTACATACAGTTGCTAATCTTATTGGGGACAACAAAGCAAATGCAACAGACGTGCAGTAAATCCTCCTTCATGACTGTTGGTGTGTTCGGTTTGTCTTGAAATGGCTTTTAACTCTGGCTGGATGAAATCTGTGATGCTGTTGAGCTGCACGTCATGTAGCCAAACCTCATTGATATTAACGGGGTGGACATAATGTGAAGATGAAACCTAAATGTGTTTGATTTCTGTTCGAACCAGAGATGAGTCACCGATCGTCAGACTTCTCAAAAATCCTCAACAAAACAGAAAGTCTCCTGCGTGAGTTGTTGTAAGTGACTTTTATATTTATATGATCCTCTGTTTTCTATTCTCTCCTCATGGACTGATTTTTATGAGTGTGTGCAAATAAGAATGTGGATCTAGTGGATTTAAACTGGAAACCCTTTTTTAACACGGTGACCTTTCGCCCTCAAAGAAACATCCCCGCCAACTACAAGGTGATGTTCCTGCAGGGCGGCGGCTCCGGACAGTTCAGTGCTGTTCCGCTCAACCTGATTGGCCTCAAGGAGGACAGGTGTGCCGACTACCTGGTGACCGGCACCTGGTCGGCAAAGGCGGCGAAAGAAGCGGAGAAATACGGCAAAGTCAACATCGTCCACCCGAAGCTGGACAGTTACACGAGTAAGTCTGAGTGTGTGGATAAATGTCTGAATGCTACTTGTGTTAATAACAAGGAAGTTATTCTACAAAAAAAATAACAATAACAGCAACCAGCGTAACCTTTTGAGAGGTTTTGGAACTCAAGTCATTTCCTTGTTTTAAAAATTCATCTTAAAGGCTCAGTATGTAGGATTTAGTGGCATCTAGTGATGAAGCTGCAGCTGAATACCTCTCACCTCGTTTGTCCAGTTTGGGCTCCTGTAAAAAACTAATGATGTAAATATAAAGTATTTAAATATAAAGGGCCCATTCTAGAGAAAAGAAAATAACAATTCACACAATTTAGATGAAACACACTGGTGAAAACATCTATAGGATTATTTGATATTACATTTCTGCCAAAAGATCCTTTCACCTAAGTCTTACACTGGACTATCCTCATGTCGTACAGTAGTTTCAGCCGGTATGAATTAGTCATTGTCATTCATGCTGCATTAAGGCAGCTCCCTGGCTGCGTATCCAGGCTGTTATGTAACTAACCAATAGAAGCCGAGGACCAATGAAAGGCTCTGGAATGCGAGCAGCCTCTTCCACATTGTTCGGGTGTGTTTGCGTTTCAGTGGGGTTCCTGTTAAACCTAATGTGTAGAGGCACTTTTGTGTTGTGTTGGAATCACATTCATTCGGAAAGAACATTCATTTATTGCCTCTTCTTCTGCTCTGTGTCCCCTGATGGGCTGGTTGATATTAAAGAACTTCATACTTTGCAGCTTCTGAAGTAATCTCTAAACTGAAACTCTGAAAATAAGGTTTTCTATACAAAATGATGAATTGTGAAAACAATCTGTAGATGAATCAATCATGATACTAATTGTTATTTGCAGCCGTACAAATAAAATCTGGATGTTTCTCTAAATTGGTGAGATTCCAGATAAAAAATAAAAGCCATTAATAAGACACTGGCTACTGACACACACTTTGGTTTACCACTTCATTAACTCTTTTTCCAAACACTCCGCCCTGAAGGCTGAAAATCAAATCGTTGCTGTAGTGTTGATTATATCACGGGTTATAAAAGCTACTGGATAAACTGGTTTGTTGCAGGAGGGTGTGAGAGGTGTGTGTTTGTAGATTCAGGTTGGAATGGATATTGTGACCAAAGTAATGTAAAATAATGTACTTCACATTTTATTTAGCAACGTAGCTCTAGCGATGGCTGAATCTGATTGAAATATATCAATAATGACATTTCTGGTTCCCACCGCAGCTTATGGACCAAACTGATTAGACAAATTAAGTTTTTCTTAAAGATGGTTTCTCTCCCATCACACTGATGCCGTAAGTTTGGTTTTAATTTGTTATTTGATTCTATTTAAAACGGGGATAAACAACATGATTGACAGCTGAGACAGATTTCCGATACTGTGGTTCCATCCACTGATCGCTACCGTGCCGACTCTGGCTCGACGTCACTGCCACGGGAGGAAGTGGATTCATGTCGTCCATCTTTGTTTACAATCTATTGTTCCTACAGAACATTCTTTTGGGTTTCGGTCCTCTGACTTAACCTCTAGCGCCACCAGCAGGTTGACATTTGTGTTTTTTACAGAAATGGCTCAGCAGATATTTGCTAGTCAGTCTTGTTTTACTTGCTCTCTCTTGGCAGAAATCCCAGACCCCAGCAGCTGGACTCTGAACCCGTCGGCCTCATATGTGTACTACTGCTGCAACGAGACCATCCACGGCGTGGAGTACAACTTCATTCCTGAAACAAACGGGGTGGTCCTCGTCAGCGACATGTCCTCCAACTTCCTGTCCCGACCTGTGGACGT